CCAGAGGCGAGGAGTGGTGGTCGTGGTTACTTATGCCCCCACCGAAGACGAACATCCGTGGAGGGATGCAGACAAAGCCGATGAGTCAAATGCCTTCTATGACCTCCTGTCACAGGTGCTGGCTAAAGTGGCCACTCGGGACAGAGTCATCTTGTTGGGTGACTTCAATGCCCGAGTTGGTCATGATGCTGGCACCTGGTCTGGAGTGATTGGAAGGCATGGGTCAGATCAGCTCAATACTAAATTTTTGTGCAGCCCATAGGCTTGTAATTACCAACACGCTCTTCCGGCATCGGCGCATCCACACAACATCATGGATGCATGCCGGGTCCAAGCAAGAACATCTGCTGGACTACGTAGTGACGGACCAGCGGATGCGAGCCCATGTCCTTGACACCAGGACCTATCGTGGAGCTGATCTGCCCACTGACCATCGACTTGTCATCTGTAAGATGCGCCTGCCATTATTCCACTCTGGTGGTGGGTGTACACCCAGGACCCCATTCCAACCTAAGGTGGCCTGGTCTCAGTTAGCTGATGGAAGTTGCAAGCGAGAATTTCATCATCGCTTGCGGCTGGGGTTGGCATCGTCCTCCACTCCTCCAGATGTCGAGAAGAAATGGGCGAGGTTTAGGACTGTGGCTCATGCAGCTGCAATGGCTGCTTTGGGTACACGGTCCAGACCTCCCCAGAGACCCTGGCTGACAGAGGAGGTGTTCAGGTTAGTTGAGAAAAAGCGACAGGCCCACTCTCATCGCCTACAGCATCCCACGTCAGAGAATGAGGAGGTTTACCGCAGCCTTCGCTCGGAGGTTCGGAGAGCCGTAAGGCGCTGTAAGGATGGGTGGTGGTCGCGGGTTGCTGAGGAGATGGAGTCTGCCTCAGTGGCCCGCGATCACAAATCGCTATTTAATTCCATCCAAAAAGTAACCTGCAGCGCCACACCTATTACCATCATTAGGGGAAAAAACGGTGATCTAAACTCTGACCCCCAGGAACAGGTTTGCAGATTTGTTGAGCATTCCTGTGAGGTCCTGGGGGAGGGGAAATCCCTCGGCATGGAAAACATCATGGGACAAAGTGGTGATAACCCTGCTGAGGCTGCGGTGCCTCAAATATTTGAGGAGGAAGTCACCCCCTGTGAGTGACTGGCTGAAGTGCCATCTGTTGAGGAAGTACTGAAGGTGATCCAGAGTCTGAAACCAGGAAAGGCACCGGGCAGAGATGATCTCGCAAGCTAAATGCTGAGGGAGGGTGGCGTTTGTGCACAGACTGCCCTATGTGACATCATAACAACAGTCTGGAACACTGGACGGGTTCCGCAGGATTGGAAAGTTGCCCTGGTGGTCCCCCTCTTTAAGAAGGGGGACCGCACAGACTGTAACAACTACAGGGGCATCTCACTCCTCAAGGTCCTCGCAAGGATTATTCAACATCGCCTTGCCAGGCATGCTGAGGAGAGGCTTGCGGAGCCCCAATGCGGTTTCAGGAAAGGGCGGTCCTGCACAGATGCCATATTTTTCTGTCCGTCTGCTACAGCAGAGGTGTAGGGAATTCCAACAAGACCTACATCTCTGCTTCACTGACCTGGTCAAGGCCTATGATACCATCAGTAGGACTGGGCTCTGGGTTGTTCTTCGTGCTTTCGGAGTCCCTGACCCTCTGCTCACGATCATTAAGGACCTTCATGATGGTGAGCGGGCCCGGGTAAAACTACGTGGCCGGGAGTCGGAGCCATTCCCTGTTCACCTTGGGGTGCGACAGGGATGTCCTCTGGCTCCCACATTATTTAACATCTTTTTCGACAACGTAGTTCGTGAAGCCTTTGATAGCTGTACTAAAGGAAAACAATGGGAGGCTGATCGATGCCCGGGTGCGGTCAAGGGATGACTCCCTATTGGTCAACCACGTTATGTATGCCGATGATCTGGTAATTGCCGCTCACTCAAAGTAGGAGTTGGAGGCGCTGCTGCTGAACCTGGAACGTGCCACTAAGAGGTGGGGCCTTACCATCAGCCCCACCAAAACTAAGCACCTGCCTGGGTATTTTGTACCATCGGACACTCCACCCTCACAACTTCCAATCGGTGATGGGGCAGTTGTGGAGAGAGTGGAGAGTTTCACATACCTTGGCAGTGTGCTCATGACCGGCTCCGGTTTGACAGCAGAGGTCTCGCTCCGAATCAGTCGAGTGGCATTATCTTTTCATCGGTTGCGTAACGCTGTGTGGAAGCTACCTGGTTTATCGCTCCGCACGAAGCTTCAGGTCTCCTCGGCCACGGTCATTCCCTCTCTTCTCTACGCTTGCGAAACGTGGACCCCCCCTAATGGAGCATCTTCGCCGGTTGGAAACATTTAGGCTGACCTGCCTACGATCCATCCTGGGTTTAACCAGGCTGGATTGTGTGAGCTCACAAATCTTTGAAAGATCTGGACTAAGTCCCATCGGTGAGCTCCTCCGGCAGGCAAGGCTGCGTTAGCTGGGTCACGTAGCCCGCATGCCCAGTAGCCACCGCATGCCTAAACAGCTTTTGTTCGGCCGGATCGAGCGGGCAAAACGGGCGCGGCACGGACTAGAGAAGAGATGGAGTGATGTGGTACAGGAAGATGTGGAGTTGAGTGGACTTGCCGATGACAGGTACCAGCGGTTTCAAGATCGGCCTCTGTGGAGGAGGCTCGTGAAGGACGCTACTGGGCAGTTGGAGGCAGTCGTCCTCCAACAACAACGGAGGGCGGAAAAGCGACGCTCACAACAACGAGCGGAGCGCCAGGTGGCTAAAGCACAGCAAGTTGGCACAGTAGGGGGCACAGGTGGTGCATCAGCCAGTCATCTCGGTCATCTCGGGCAGTCGACCCATGGCACCTGGGTCTGCCCCGTGACCTCCTGCCAGCGGGCGTTCGACACTTCACGTGGCCTCAAGGTGCACCTAGCCTGGCACAAGCTTCGTGGTGACGTCACTGCCACTTAGTGGTGAATGGCGGTTGTTGTTGTTGTTGTTGAGTGAGTGGGTGAGTAGGTGAGTGGTTTGGTGAGTAGGTGAGTGGTTGGGTGAGTAGGTGAGTGGTTGGGTGAGTGAGTGGGTGAGTGGGTGGATGGGTGAGTGAGTGGATTGGTGAGTGTGTTGGTGAGTGAGTGACTGAGTGGGTGGGTGAGTGGATGAGTGGGTTCCTGAGTGGGTGAGTGATTGGGTGAGTGATTAGGTGAGTGGGTTGGTGAGTGGGTTGGTGAGTGAGTGGGTGAGTAGGTTGTTGAGTGGGTTGGTGAGTGGGTGGGTGAGTGGGTTGGTGAGTGAGTGGGTGAGTGGGTGGGTGAGTGGGTTGGTGAGTGGGTGGGTGAGTGGGTTGGTGAGTGGGTTGGTGAGTGGGTGAGCAGGTGGTGAGCGGGTGACTGAGTGAGTGAGTGATTAGGTGAGTGAGTGAGTGGCTGAGTGAGTGAGTGATTGGGTGAGTGATTAGGTGAGTGACTGAGTGAATGGGTGAGCAGGTTGGTGAGTGGGTGAGTAGGTTGGTGAGTGGGTGAGTGATTAGGTGAGTGACTGACTGAGTGACTGAGTGGGTGAGTGGGTGAGTGAGTGAGTGACTGAGTGACTGACTGACTGAGTGAGTGACTGAGTTAGTGAGTGAGTGACTGAGTGAGTGACTGAGTGAGTGATTGAGTGAGTGATTGAGTGACAGAGTGAGTGGATGAGTGGGTAAGTGATTGGGTGAGTGAGTAGGTGAGTGACTGAGTGAGTGACTGAGTGAGTGATTGAGTGAGTGACTGAGTGAGTGATTAGGTGAGTGAGTTACTGAGTGATTAGGTGAGTGACTGAGTGAGTGGGTGAGTTGTCAGTCACTGCTGCTGCTACTGCTAACACTACACTTGGCGCTGCAACCTTCTAGAGGCTACCTTGGGTAGCTGTGTGCACGCGGTCGGTATTTGCATATCGATTCCACGATCCGTACCCTCCAAACGGGAAATCGATTCCCACAGCATTGTTTCTTATTGGAATCGAATCGTTCAGGGCCGGGGTTGGTCATTATCGATACAGAAAAAAAATCGATTCCGCCGCATAAATTTGCATAAAGCAGCATGTTATTTGCATAGATTTGCATGCTGGAGGGGTAGAGATATAGTGGTTAGAGATAGTGTGGTACTAGTAGTAGTGGTAGTAGTAGTGGTAGTAGTGGTGGTAGTAGTGGTAGTAGTGGTAGTAGTAGTGGTAGTAGTGGTGGTAGTAGTGGTAGTAGTGGTAGTAGTAGTGGTAGTAGTGTAGTAGTAGTGGTAGTAGTGGTAGTAGTAGTAGTGGTAGTAGTAGTGGTAGTAGTAGTAGTGGTAGTAGTGGTAGTAGTAGTGGTAGTAGTAGTGGTAGTAGTAGTGGTAGTAGTAGTAGTGGTAGTAGTGGTAGTAGTAGTGGTAGTAGTAGTAGTGGTGGTAGTGGTAGTAGTAGTGGTAGTAGTGGTGGTAGTGGTAGTAGTAGTGGTAGTAGTGGTGGTAGTGGTAGTAGTGGTAGTAGTAGTGGTAGTAGTGGTGGTAGTAGTAGTGGTGGTAGTGGTAGTAGTGGTAGTAGTAGTGTAGTAGTGTAGTAGTGTAGTAGTGTAGTATTAGTAGTAGTGTAGTAGTATATTAGTAGTAGTGTAGTAGTAGTGTAGTAGTAGTAGTGTAGTAGTAGTGTAGTAGTAGTAGTGGTAGTAGTAGTAGTATAGTACTAGTAGTAGTAGTGTAGTAGTAGTGTACTAGTAGTAGTGTACTAGTAGTGGTAGTAGTGTAGTAGTAGTGTAGTAGTAGTGTAGTAGTAGTAGTAGTGTACTAGTAGTAGTGTACTAGTAGTAGTGTACTAGTAGTGGTAGTAGTGTAGTAGTAGTGGTGTACTAGTAGTAGTAGTGTACTAGTAGTAGTAGTGTATTAGTAGTAGTAGTATAGTAGTAGTGTATTAGTAGTAGTATAGTGTTGTACTAGTAGTAGAGTAGTAGGGGCAGGGCTGGTGTTGATGCTTCTCTCTAATTGGCTGTTGCCGCAGGTACCGGCGAGAGTGGCAAGAGCACCTTCATCAAGCAGATGAGGATCATCCACGGCAGGGGCTACACGGAGAGCGACCGCAGAGGTGAGTCCATCATCATCAGCAGTAGCAGTAGTAGTTGTAGTAGCAGCAGTAGGAGTACCAGTAGTAGTAGCATCATCAGCAGTAGTAGTAGTAGTTGTAGTAGTAGCAGTAGTACCATCATCATCATCAGTAGTAGTAGTAGTTGTAGTAGTAGCAGTAGGAGTACCAGTAGTAGTAGTAGCAGCAGTAGTAGTAGTAGCAGTAGCATCATCATCAGCAGTAGTAGTAGTAGCAGTAGCATCATCATCAGCAGTAGTAGTAGTAGCAGTAGTACCATCATCATCAGCAGTAGTAGTAGTAGCAGCAGTAGTACTATCATCATCAGCAGTAGTGGTAGTAGTAGCAGTAGTAGTACCATCATCATCATCAGTAGTAGTAGTAGTAGCAGCTGTAGTACCATCATCATCAGCAGTAGTAGTAGTAGCAGTAGTAGTACCATCATCATCAGTAGTAGCAGTAGTAGTAGCAGCAGTAGTACCATCATCATCATCAGTAGTAGTAGTACCATCATCATCAGTAGTAGTAGTGTCATCATCAGCAGTAATAGTAGTAGTAGCAGCAGTAGTAGTAGTACCACCATCATCATCAGTAGTAGTAGTACCATCTTCATCAGCAGTACGAGCAGTAGTACCATCAGTAGTAGAACCATCATCATCAGCAGTAGTAGTAGTAGTACCATCATCATCAGCAGTAGTACCATCAGTAGTAGAACCATCATCATCAGCAGTAGTAGTAGTACCATCATCATCAGCAGTAGTACCATCAGTAGTAGAACCATCATCATCAGCAGTAGTAGTAGTACCATCTTCATCAGCAGTAGTACCATCAGTAGTAGAACCATCATCATCAGCAGTAGTAGTACCATCATCATCAGCAGTAGTACCATCAGTAGTAGAACCATCATCATCAGCAGTAGTAGTAGTACCATCATCATCAGCAGTAGTAGCAGCAGTAGCAGTAGCATCATCATCAGCAGTAGTTGTAGTACCATCATCATCAGCAGTAGTACCAGCAGTAGCAGTAGCATCATCATCAGCAGTAGTAGTAGTACCATCATCATCAGCAGTAGTAGCAGCAGTAGCAGTAGCAGTAGCATCATCATCAGCAGTAGTTGTAGTGCCATCATCATCAGCAGTAGTTGTAGTACCATCATCATCAGCAGTAGTACCAGCAGTAGCAGTAGCATCATCATCAGCAGTAGTTGTAGTACCATCATCATCAGCAGTAGTTGTAGTACCATCATCATCAGCAGTAGTAGCAGCAGTAGCAGTAGCATCATCATCAGCAGTAGTAGTAGTACCATCATCATCAGCAGTAGTACCAGCAGTAGCAGTAGCATCATCATCAGCAGTAGTTGTAGTACCATCATCATCAGCAGTAGTAGCAGCAGTAGCAGTAGCATCATCATCAGCAGTAGTAGTAGTACCATCATCATCAGCAGTAGTACCAGCAGTAGCAGTAGCAGTAGCATCATCATCAGCAGTAGTTGTAGTACCATCATCATCAGCAGTAGTAGCAGCAGTACCATCATCATCAGCAGTAGTTGTAGTACCATCATCATCAGCAGTAGTAGCAGCAGTAGCATCATCAGCAGTAGTTGTAGTACCATCATCATCAGCAGTAGTACCAGCAGTACCATCATCATCAGCAGTAGTACCAGCAGTAGCAGTAGCATCATCATCAGCAGTAGTACCATCATCATCAGCAGTAGTAGCAGCAGTAGCAGTAGCATCATCATCAGCAGTAGTTGTAGTACCATCATCATCAGCAGTAGTTGTAGTACCATCATCATCAGCAGTAGTAGCAGCAGTAGCAGTATCATCATCATCAGCAGTAGTTGTAGTACCATCATCATCAGCAGTAGTAGCAGCAGTAGCATCATCATCAGCAGTAGTTGTAGTACCATCATCATCAGCAGTAGTAGCAGCAGTAGCATCATCATCATCAGCAGTAGTAGCAGCAGTAGCATCATCATCAGCAGTAGTTGTAGTACCATCACCATCAGCAGTAGTAGCAGCAGTAGCATCATCATCAGCAGTAGTTGTAGTACCATCATCAGTAGTACCATCATCAGTAGTACCTCCCTGACAGACCTGGTCTTCACCTGAGGACGGCTGCTTGCGTTGTGGCCGAAACGTCGTGAGAATTGTATTTTATTATGTTTAATTTTTATTATTTGATTATTTCCCTTCTACGTGATGACTTTACCGAAATAACCAAGAAGATGAATCCCTGCAGTCACGAAAGCTTTCAATCGGGTTTTGATTCCTTACCCGTACCCGGCCGCACCAGGGTCGCAAACGGATACCCGTACCCGGCCGTACCCGTACCCTACCCGTACCCGACCGGGTACGGGTAGGGTACGGGTATCGGGTACCCGGTTGCGACCTCTGGGATGAAGCCATGTTGCAGGCGCGGGTGGGTTGATTCTAGGAACTTGAATTGTGAGAAGAGTCAAGACGTTGGGAAATGAGTGACAAACGGTGACTCACCAGTGATTCACTGCCTACCCGTACCCGGCCGGGTACGGGTAGGGTACGGGTACGGGTAGGGTACGGGTACCGGGTAGGGTACGGGTATCGGGTAGGGTACGGGTATCGGGTAGGGTACGGGTACCGGGTAGGGTACGGGTATCGGGTAGGGTACGGGTATCGGGTAGGGTACGGGTACCGGGTAGGGTACGGGTACCGGGTAGGGTACGGGTATCGGGTAGGGTACGGGTACCGGGTAGGGTACGGGTACCGGGTAGGGTACGGGTACCGGGTAGGGTACGGGTATCGGGTAGGGTACGGGTATCGGGTACCTGTTTGCGACCCTGGTGCGGCCGGGTACGGGTAGGCCGTGAGTCACTGGTGAGTCACCGTTTGTCACTCATTTCCCAACGTCTTGTCTCTTACACCATTGGAACCTCATTTGCCAGTAAAAATATAATTGGGTTTTTTACCCTTCAATCTGGCAACAAAACTGACACCTTTTTACAAGGAGTCATGTTTGCATAGACCACAATACCTGCAGTCTTGTTTGCATTATGACTGCTGGTATTGTGGTCTATGCAAACATGACTCCTTGTAAAAAGGTGTCAGTTTTGTTGCCAGATAGAAGGGTGAAAAAACCAATCAACGTCTTGTCTCTTCTCACAATTCAAGTTCCTAGAATCAACCCACCCGCGCCTGCAACATGGCTTCATCCCAGATGTCGCAATCGGGTACCCGATACCTGTACCCTACCCGATACCCGGCTACCCGTAGCCGGCCGGGTACGGGTACGGGTACGGGTAGCCGTTTGTGACCCTGGTGCGGCCGGGTACGGGTACGGGTAGGCCGTGAGTCACTGGTGAGTAACCGTTTGTCACTCATTTCGGGTAAGGTACAGGTAAGGAACGGCTACCCGTACCCAGCCGGGTACGGGTACAGGTACCCGTTTGCGACCCTGGTGCGGCCGGGTACGGGTAAGGAATCAAAACCCGTTTGCGTCCTCTGGCGTACGGCGCGAACGGACGGTTAGGAGGTCAACAGAGGCCTACCGATCGGTGCAGGAAAGCCTCAAAGATGATTGGTTAGGAGATTAGAGATTCATAGGGATCGGGGAGGAGAGATGCAAACGTAAACAGGACCGGGGAAACGAGGGGGGTGGTTGACAACCTTTAGAGAATTGGCTGAAGCAGAGGTCGCAAATGGGTTTTGATTCCTTACCCGTACCCGTACCCGGCCGCACCAGGGTCGCAAACGGCTACCCGTACCCTGCCGTACCCGTACCCTACCCGTACCCGACCGGGGTACGGGTAGGGTACGGGTATCGGGTACCTGATTGCGACCTTTGGGATGAAGCCATGTTGCAGGCGTGGGTGGGTTGATTCTAGGAACTTGAATTGTGAGAAGAGACAAGACGTTGGGAAATGAGTGACAAACGGTGACTCACCAGTGACTCACAGCCTACCCGTACCCGGCCGGGTACGGGTAGGCTGGGTACGGGTAGCCGGGTATCGGGTAGGGTACGGGTATCGGGTACCCGATTGCGACCTCTGGGATGAAGCCACGTTGCAGGCGCGGGTGGGTTGATTCTATCTTATTTCAATCATTCTCCTTTCCAATCGTCTTTTTCACCTCCCCATCATCTACCCCCGTTCTCTCCTCCCATCATCTCCCATCACTCTCTCCCCATCATTGTGAGAAGAGACACAAGACGTTGGGAAATGAGTGACAAACAGTGACTCACCGGTGACTCACGGCCTACCCGTACCCGTACCCGGCCGCACCAGGGGCGCAAACGGGTACCCGTACCCGGCTGGGTACGGGTAGCCGGTTATCGGGCAGGGTACGGGTATCGGGTAGGGTACGGGTATCGGGTAGGGTACGGGTATCGGGTACCCGGTTGCGACCTCTGGGATGAAGCCATGTTGCAGGCGCGGGTGGGTTGATTCTAGGAACTTGAATTGTGAGAAGAGACAAGACGTTGGGAAATGAGTGACAAAAGGTGACTCACCAGTGACTCACGGCCTACCCGTACCCGTACCCGGCCGGGTATCGGGTAGGGTACGGGTATCGGGTATCGGGTAGGGTACGGGTATCGGGTACCCGGTTGCGACCTCTGGGCTGAAGGCGGTGGGGTTGAGTGAAGCTTCCATAGTGGGGGCCTCAGAGGCTGTGACAGGAGATGGCACAAGGGGGAGGGTGAGGGTTGTAGAGAAGGTGGAGTTTCAAGCCTGGGCCTAGAGGTAGTGCCCGTGTCCTGATGATGATCCTGATGTTGCTGCTGATGATGATGCTGCTGATGATTCCCAGAGTTCACGAAGCTCATCCACCAGAACATCGTGACGGCCATGCAGGCCTTGGTGAGAGCCATGACCACGCTGAAGATCAACTATGGGAACTCAGCCAATGAGGTGTCAGCGTCCACCCTGCCCCTCCACTCACCCACTCACTCAACCACCCACTCACCCACCCACATACTCACTCACTCACCCACTCAATCAATCACTCATTTACCCACCCACTCACCCACCCACTCACTCACCCACCCACCCACTCACTCACCCACCCACCCACTCACTAACCCACTCATTCAATCACTCACTCACTCACCCACTCAATCAATCACTCATTTACCCACCCACCCACTCACTCACCCACCCACTCACCCACTCACCCACTCAATCACCCACTCACTCACCCACCCACTCATTCAATCACTCACTCAATCACCCACTCAATCAATCACTCATTTACCAACCCACCCACTCACTCACCCACCAACCCACTCACTAACCCACCCACTCACTCATTCACCCACTCACCCACTCAATCACCCACTCACCCACTCAATCACCCACTCACTAACCCACCCATTCATTCAATCACTCACTCACTCACTCACCCACTCAATCAATCACTCATTTACCCACCCACTCACTCACCCACCCACCCACCCACTCATCCACTCACCCACTCAATCACCTACTCACTAACCCACCCACTCACTAACCCACCCACTCACCCACTCACTCACTCACCACTCAATCAATCACTCATTTACCCACCCACTCATCCACTCACCCACTCAATCACCTACTCACTAACCCACCCACTCACTAACCCACTCATTCAATCACTCACTCACTCACCCACTCAATCAATCACTCATTTACCCACCCACTCACCCACCCACCCACTCACCCACTCAATCACCCACTCACTAACCCACCCACTCACTCACATCCCCCCCCCCCATCTCTCCCCCACCCCTCTCCAGGTGCATGCTCGCCACGTGGCATCTCTGGACGTGGAGGCGGTACGATCGTTGGGGGGGCCGGAGGTGGCGGCTGTCGCCTCCCTGTGGGCCGACGTGGGAGTGGTGGAGTGTTTCTCACGTCGCAGGGAGTTCCAGATCTCTGACTCGGCCAAATAGTGAGATGGTTTCTTTGTGTGTGTGTGTCTCTGTGTGTCTCTGTGTGTGTGTGTCTGTGTGTGTCTCTCTGTGTGTGTGTCTCTGTGTGGGTGTGTCTGTGTCTCTCTGTGTGTGTGTCTCTGTGTGGGTGTGTCTCTGTGTGTGTCTCTGTGTGTGTGTCTCTGTGTGTGCGTCTCTGTGTGTCTCTGTCTGTCTCTCTCTGTATCTCTCTGTGTGTCTCACCGTGTCTCTGTGTGTCTCACCGTGTCTATCTGTGTGTCTCTGTGTGTCTCACCATGTCTATCTGTGTCTCTGTGTGTCTCTCTGTATCTGTGTCTCACCGTCTCTATCTGTGTGCGTCTGTTTCTCTCTGTATCTGTGTGTCTCTCTGCGTATCCCCGTCTTTTTATATCCCCGTGTCTCCGCGTGTCTCCCCGTGTCTCTCTTTCTCACCGTGTCTCTCCGCGTGTCTCCCCGTGTCTCTTTCTCACCGTGTCTCTCCGCGTGTCTCCCCGTCTCTTTCTCACCATGTCTCTCCACGTGTCTCCCCGTGTCTCTTTCTCACCGTGTCTCTCCACGTGTCTCCCCGTGTCTCTTTATCTCACCGTGTCTCTCCGCGTGTCTCCCCGTGTCTCTTTATCTCACCGTGTCTCTCCGCATGTCTCCCCGTGTCTCTCTTTATCTCACCGTGTCTCTCCACGTGTCTCCCCGTGTCTCTTTCTCACCGTGTCTCTCCGCGTGTCTCCCCGTGTCTCTCTTTCTCACCGTGTCTCTCCACGTGTCTCCCCGTGTCTCTCTTTATCTCCCCGTGTCTCCCCGTGTCTCTCTTTATCTCACCGCGTGTCTCTCCGTGTGTCTCTCTTTATCTCACCGTGTCTCCCCGTGTCCGTGTCTCTCCGCGTGTCCCCACACAGCTACCTGGACGCGCTGCCCCGTGTCTCACCGTGTCTCACCGCGTGTCTCCCCGTGCCTCACCGTGCCTCTCTTTATCTCACCGTGTCTCTGCGTGCCTCTCTTTATCTCCCCGTGTCTCTCTTTATCTCACCGTGTCTCTCTGCGTCTCTCCGTGTGTCTCCACAGCTACCTGCACGCACTGCCCCGTGTCTCCCCGTGCCTCTCCTTATCTCACCGTGTCTCCCCGTGTCCGTGTCTCTGCGTGTACCCACACAGCTACCTGGACGCGCTGTCTCGTGTCTCCGCTGCGGACTACGTCCCCACGGAGCAGGACGTCCTGCGAGTCCGAGTCCCGACCACGGGAATCATCGAGTACCCCTTCGACCTCAAGAACGTCGTCTTCCGGTCAGGAGATGTCACCGCCACCACCATCACCGCCACCACCACCACCACCACCGCCTCCATCATCACCACCACCACCTCCACCACCACCGCCTCCATCATCACCGCTACCACCACCACCACCACCGCCTCCATCATCACCGCCACCACCGCCACCGCCGCCACCGCCGCCACCCACCACCACCACCGACGTCGTCATCGCCACCGTTACCGCCACCACCGTTACTGCCACCACCACCACCAACACCGCCACCACCGTTACTGCCACCACCACCACCAACACCGCCACCACCGCCGCCACCACCGCTACCACCACCGCCACCACCACCGCCGCCACCACCGCTGCCGCCACCACCGCTGCCACCACCGCCACCACCACCGCACAGGATGTATATGTAATGGGTTCCGGAGACACTTGTAGAGGTAACTTCTTTATTACAATCCAACACTCCATTCAATCCTCATACTCTGTTACAGCCTAGGTACACAGCCTAGATACACAGCCTAGATACACAGCCTAGGTAGACAGCCTAGGTAGACAGCCTAGGTAGACAGCCTAGGTAGACAGCCTAGGTAGACAGCCTAGGTAGACAGCCTAGGTACACAGCCTAGGTACACAGCCTAGGTAGACAGCCTAGGTAGACAGCCTCGGTACACAGCCTCGGTACACAGCCTAGGTACACAGCCTAGGTACACAGCCTAGGTAGACAGCCTAGGTACACAGCCGAGATACACAGCCTCGCGACAAAGCCTAGGTACACAGCCTAGGTACACAGCCTAGCGACACAGCCTAGCGACACAGCCTAGGTACACAGCCTAGCGACACAGCCTAGCGACACGGCCTAGGTACACGGCCTAGGTACACGGCCTAGGTACACGGCCTAGGTAGGCGGCCTAGGTACACGGCCTAGGTACGCGGCCTAGGTAGGCGGCCTAGGTAGACAGCCTAGGTAGACAGCCTAGGTACACAGCCTAGGTAGACAGCCGAGATACTTGGCCTAGGTACGCGGCCTAGGTAGGCGGCCTAGGTAGGCGGCCTAGGTAGACAGCCTAGGTACACAGCCTAGGTACACAGCCTAGGTAGACAGCCTAGGTACACAGCCTCGGTACACAGCCTAGGTACACAGCCGAGATACACAGCCTAGGTAGACAGCCTAGGTACACAGCCGAGATACACAGCCTCGCAACAAAGCCTAGATACACAGCCTAGGTACACAGCCTAGGTACACAGCCTAGCGACACAGCCTAGGTACACAGCCGAGGTAGACAGTCTAGGTACACAGCCGAGCGACACAGCCTAGGTACACGGCCTAGGTACACGGTCTAGGTACACGGCCTAGGTACACGGCCTAGGTACACGGCCTAGGTAGGCGGCCTAGGTACACGGCCTAGGTAGATGGCCTAGGTACACGGCCTAGGTAGGCGGCCTAGATAGACAGCCTAGGTACACAGCCTAGGTAGGCGGCCTAGGTACACAGCCTAGGTACACAGCCTAGGTAGGTGGCCTAGGTACACAGCCTAGGTACACGGCCTAGGTACGCGGCCTAGGTACGCGGCCTAGGTACACAGCCTAGGTACACAGCCTAGGTACACAGCCTAGGTAGACAGCCTAGGTAGACAGCCTAGGTAGACAGCCTAGGTAGACAGCCTAGGTACACAGCCTAGCGACACAGCCTAGCGACACAGCCTAGGTACACAGCCTAGCGACACAGCCTAGGTAGACAGCCTAGGTACACAGCCTAGCGACACAGCCTAGCGACACAGCCTAGCGACACAGCCTAGGTACACAGCCTAGGTACACAGCCTAGGTACACAGCCTAGGTACACAGCCTAGATAGACTACTCTGGCTACGCTCTGGGGTCCTCCGGCTACAACTACCCTAGGGGAGGCTACCTGCCCCGACCCAGCCAAGGTGCGGGTCTGGACTCTGGCTTCCTCGGAACTCGCCCTTACAAGGACGTAGAGCCGGGAGTCCCAGAGTCCCACCACTGGCCCTCAGGGAGCTGCCCTTTTACGCCTCGTCCCCAACGAGGGGTGGGGTTGAGTGTGCCCCCAGATACCCCACAGAGCACACACAGCCCCCCCCCCCCCCCCCCCCGTTGGTGGCGCCAAGGGGCTTAAGTGTCTGGGGTGCCTGGGATCCCAGCGCCTGGCGCCAATGGGCTTAAGTGTCTGGGGTGCCTGGGATCCCAGCGCCTGGCGCCAAGGGGCTTAAGTGTCTGGGGTGCCTGGGATACTAGCGCCTGGCGCCAAGGGGCTTAAGTGTCTGGGGTGCCTGGGATCCTAGCGCCTGGCGCCAATGGGCTTAAGTGTCTGGGGTGCCTGGGATCCCAGCGCCTGGCGCCAAGGGGCTTAAGTGTCTGGGGTGCCTGGGATCCTAGCGCCTGGCGCCAAGGGGCTTAAGTGTCTGGGGTGCCTGGGATCCTAGCGCCTGGCGCCAAGGGGCTTAAGTGTCTGGGGTGCCTGGGATCCTAGCGCCTGGCGCCAAGAGGCTTAAGTGTCTGGGGTGCCTGGGATCCTAGTGCCTGGCGCCAAGGGGCTTAAGTGTCTGGGGTGCCTGGGATCCTAGCGCCTGGCGCCAAGGGGCTTAAGTGTCTGGGGTGCCTGGGATCCTAGCGCCTGGCGCCAAGGGGCTTAGCTGTCTAGGATCCCAGAGCCCCCAGCAGCCCCTCCCCTCTTATGGCACTACACTTACGTTAAGCAAAGGCGGTGATTCAAATAAAAATCCACGGTTGGGGCGGACCCACCCACCCCTACCACAGCACACGGGATATACACGTTCAGTACAGCAGGATGCTTCAAAAATATTTCTTTCTTTAGAGCTTAGTCTCATATGGTGTTCGACCAGATGACGCCAAAAGGCGCACAGTCAATATGAGACTAGGCTCTAAAGAAAGCTGTCTCTGGTGTGGACCAATCAGTTTCAAGGACAACGCATAAATTATCAGAGTTGTGTTTTTTGTTTGCATTTGACTGCAAGTATTGTGGTTAATGTAAACATGATTCCTTGCAAAAGGTGTCAGTTTTGTTGCCAGAAAAAAGGGGGAAACCCCCTTTTAGTATTAATACGGAGTTTATTTATTGTGGTGAGGATGGGGTTTAGCGACACGTCAACACACAAACTCCGTGTCGTTTTAAAACCCGACGACACCGCCAGTTAGTAACGGGGTTCTACAACTTTTTTGTAAAAAGTTGTAGATGTTTTTGAAAATTGATTTTAAAAAATGTAGCGGCAAGGTTGGAGTCGCGACGTCATTGCACACGAACCCGGCAGAGGTGACGTCACCGCCCATCTGTGCGTGATCGGGGGCGGACATGTTTGTGAGGGGCGCACCTCTGGTTGGCTGCTTGCTCGCGGTCACGTGACGCACTTCAACCAATCCGTGTCGCGTTAATCACACAATGGCAGAATGACAGATTCACAGAAGGGCAGAATCACAGAATGACAGACCTGGGTGTTAATATATACGTTTATACTACCGATGATGATACTACTACTGATGATGATACTACTATTACTGATACTACCGATGATGATACTACTACTGCTGATACTACTGCTGATGATACTATTACTAATATTACCGATGATACTACTACTGCTGATACTACCGATGATGATACTACTATTACTGATACTACCGATGATGATACTACTGCTGATGATACTATTACTAATACTACCGATGATGATACTACTACTGCTGATACTACTGCTGATGATACTATTACTAATACTACCGATGATACTACTACTGCTGATACTACTGATGATACTACTACTGCTGATACTACTACTGCTGATGATATTATTACTAATACTACCGATGATGATACTACTGCTGATACTACCAATGATGATACTACTATTACTGATACTACCAATGATGATACTACTACTGCTGATACTATTACCAATACTACCGATGATGATACTACTATTACTGATACTACCAATGATGATACTACTACTGCTGATACTATTACCAATACTACCAATGATGATACTACTACTGCTGATACTACCGATGATGATACTACTACTGCTGATAATACTACTGCTGACGATACTATTACTAATACTACCGATGATGATACTACTACTGCTGATACTACTGCTGATACTATTACTAATACTACCGATGATACTACTACTGCTGATACTACTGATGATGATACTACTACTGCTGATACTACTACTGCTGATGATATTATTACTAATACTACCGATGATGATACTACTGCTGATACTACCAATGATGATACTACTATTACTGATACTACCAATGATGATACTACTACTGCTGATACTATTACCAATACTACCGATGATGATACTACTATTACTGATACTACCAATGATGATACTACTACTGCTGATACTATTACCAATACTACCAATGATGATACTACTACTGCTGATACTACCGATGATGATACTACTACTGCTGATAATACTACTGCTGACGATACTATTACTAATACTACCGATGATGATACTACTACTGATGATACTATTACTGATACTACCGATGATGATACTACTACTGCTTATAATACTACTGCTGATGATACTATTACTAATACTACCGATGATGATACTACTGCTGATACTACCGATGATGATACTACTACTGCTGATACTACCAATGATGATACTACTACTGCTGATACTACCGCTGATGCCGCTGGCCAGGATGGTGGACGTGGGTGGACAGAGGAGTGAGCGCAGGAAGTGGATCCACTGCTTCGAGAACGTCACATCCATCCTCTTCCTCACTGCCCTCAGCGAGTACGACCAGGTGCTGGCAGAGAGCGACTTCGAGGTGGGTCCACCCCCAGAATCCACCCCTCTATAGAGTCCACCCCCTGTAGAGTCTACCCCTATACTCCACCCCATAGTCCACCCCTAGAGAGTCTACCACCCAACAGAGAGGCCAGCCCAAAGTCCACCACTATAGACAGTCCACCCCCAGTGGAGTCACTCACTCCCCGCTCCCCGTGTCTACCCCCCCCCTCCACCTCGTGGTAGAACCGGTTGGAGGAGAGCAAGTCGCTGTTCCGGCTGATCGTCTCGTATCCGTGGTTCGACAAGTCCACCCCATAGTCCACCCTCCCCCCAGTGGAGTCCCCGTGTCTACCCCCCCCTCCACCTCGTGGTAGAACCGGTTGGAGGAGAGCAAGTCGCTGTTCCGACTCATCGTCTCGTACCCGTGGTTCGACATGGCGTCGGTGATTCTCTTCCTCAACAAGAACGACCTCCTGGAGGAGAAGATTTCCAAGTCGCACCTCGCCGACTACTTCCCACAGTTCAAAGGTGAGCAGCGAACCCTCCTGCCTACCCACCCAACTACACAACCACCTACACAACCACCTAGACACCCCCACCCACATAGACACCCACACACCTACACAACCACCTACTCAACCACCGAGACAACCCACACACCTACACAACCAAATAGCCACCCACACACCTACACAACCACCTCAACAACCACCTCAACAACCACGTAGCCACCCACCTAGACACCCACACACCTACACAACCACCTACACAACCACTTACACACCCACACACCTACACAAACACCTACACAACCACCTACACACCCACCTAGACACCCACACATCTACACAACCAACCTACACAACCACTTATGCCACCCACCCACCTACACAACCACCTACACAACCACTTAGCCACCCACCCACCTACACAACCACCTAGACACCCACCCACCTACACAACCACCTAGACACCCACCCACCTACACAACCACCTAGACACCCACCTACACACCCACACAACCACCTACACAACCACCGCCATTCGCCACTAAGTGGCGGTGACGTCACCACGACGCTTGTGCCAGGCCAAGTGCACCTTGAGGCCACGTGAAGTGTCGAACGCCCGCTGGCAGGTGGTCACGGGGCAGACCCAGGTGCCACGGGTCGACTGACCGAAATGACCGAGATGACTGGCTGATGCACCACCTGTGCCCCCTACTGTGCCAACTTGCTGTGCTTTAGCCACCCGGCGCTCCGCTCGTTGTTGTGAGCGTCGCTCCTCCGCCCTCCGTTGTTGTTGGAGGGCGACTGCCTCCAACTACACAGTAGCGTCCTTCACGAGCCTCCTCCACAGAGGCCGATCTTGACACCTCTTCTTCTACCTCCACCACCTCTTCTACCGCCTCCACCACCACCACCTCAACCACCTACAACTCCACCACCCCCTCCAACTCTTCCACCACCCCCTCCGCCTGCCAGGTCCCACAGGGAACGCCGAAGCCGCCAGACAGTTCATCCGGCAGATGTTCCTGGATCTCAACCGGGAGGCAAACGAGGAGGATGAGGAGGATGGAGGTGGCAGACATGAGGAGAAGGTCATCTACTCCCACTTCACCTGTGGAACGGACACCAATAACATCCGTCGCATCTTCGACAGCGTCAAAGACACCATCCTGGATTGGAACATCAAAAACAGTGGCCTAGCGTAGGCTCGGCTAGGCCTGACGTTAACCTCACCGTGAACCCCACCCACCCACACGGCCATCGTGATCCCCACCCACCAATCCACCCACACGGCCATCGTGATTCCCACCCACCAATCCACCCACACGGCCATCGTGAATCCACCCACACGGCCATCATGAATCCACCCACCCACACGGCCATCGTGATCCCCACCCACCAATCCACCCACACGGCCATCATGAATCCACCCACCCACACGGCCATCGTGATTCCCACCCACCAATCCACCCACACGGCCATCATGAATCCACCCACACGGCCATCATGAATCCACCCACCCACACGGCCATCGTGATCCCCACCCACCAACCCACCCACACGGCCATCGTGAAGCCCACCCACCAATCCTCCCACACGGCCATCGTGAAGCCCACCCACCAATCCACCCACACGGCCATCGTGAAGCCCACCCACACACACGGTCATCATGAACCCCACCCACCAATCCACCCACACGGCCATCATGAACCCCACCCACCAATCCACCCACACGGCCATCGTGAACCCCACCCACACGGCCATCATGAATCCACCCACTCACACGGCCATCGTGAACCCCACCCACCAATCCACCCACACGGCCATCATGAACCCCACCCACCAATCCACCCACACGGCCATCGTGAACTCCACCCACCCAGCCACCGGGAACCCCACCCACCCACACGGCCACCGTGAACCCCACCCACATGGCCATCGTGAACCCCACCCACATGGCCATCGTGAACCCCACCCACCCACATGGCCATCGTGAACCCCACCCACCCACACGGCCATCGTGAATCCACCCACCCACACAGCCACCGTGAACCCCACCCACCCACATGGCCACCGTGAACCCTACCCACCGACACGGCCACCGTGAACCCCACCAACCCACACACACGGTCACCGTGAACCCCACCCACCCACACGGCCATCGTAAAACCCACCCACCAACCCACCCACACGGCCATCGTGAACCCCACCCACCCACACGGCCATCGTGAACCCCACCCACCCACACGGCCATCGTGGACCCATCCACCCACACGGCCACCGTGAACCTCACCCACCCACACGGCCATCGTGAACCCCACCCACCCACACGGCCATCGTGAACCCCACCCACCCACACGGCCACCGTGAACCTCACCCACCCACACGGCCATCGTGAACCCCACCCACCCACACGGCCATCGTGAACCCCACCCACCCACACGGCCATCGTGAACCCCACCCACCCACACGTCCGTCGTGAACCCACCCACCCACACGGCCACCGTGAACCTCACCCACCCACACGGCCGTCGTGAACCCCACCCACCCACACGGCCGTCGTGAACCCCACCCACCCACACGGCCGCCGTGAACCCCACCCACCCACACGGCCACCGTGAACCCCACCCACCCACACGGCCACCGTGAACCCCACCCACCCACACGGCCATCGTGAACCCCACCCACCCACACGGCCATCGTGAACCCCACCCACCCACACGGCCATCGTGAACCCCACCCACACGGCCATCGTGAACCCCACCCACCCACACGGCCATCGTGAACCCCACCCACCCACACGGCCGTCGTGAACCCCACCCACACGGCCACCGTGAACCCCACCCACCCACACGGCCATCGTGAACCCACCCACCCACACGGCCATCGTGAACCCACCCACCCACACGGCCACCGTGAACCCCACCCACACGGCCACCGTGAACCCACCCACCCACACGGCCATCGTGAACCTCACCCACCCACACGGCCATCGTGAACCTCACCCACCCACACGGCCATCGTGAACCCCACCCACCCACACGGCCATCGTGAACCCATCCACCCACACGGCCATCGTGAACCCCACCCACCCACACGGCCACCGTGAACCCACCCACCCACACGGCCACCGTGAACCTCACCCACCCACACGGCCATCGTGAACCCCACCCACCCACACGGCCGTCGTGAACCCCACCCACCCACACGGCCATCGTGAACCCCACCCACCCACACGGCCATCGTGAACCCATCCACCCACACGGCCATCGTGAACCCCACCCACCCACACGGCCACCGTGAACCCCACCAACCCACCCACACGGCCACCGTGAACCCCACCAACCCACCCACACGGCCACCGTGAACCCTACCCACCCACCCACACGGCCATCGTGAAGCCCACCCACCCACCCACCCACACGGCCACCGTGAAGCCCACCCACCCACCCACACGGCCACCGTGAACCCCACCCACCCACACGGCCATCGTGAAGCCCACCCACCCACCCACCAACACGGCCATCGTGAAGCCCACCCACCCACCCACCCACACGGCCACCGTGAACCCCACCCACCCACACGGCCATCGTAAAGCCCACCCACCCACCCACCCACACGGCCACCGTGAACACCCTCACCCACCAACACGGCCATCGTGAAGCCCACCCACCCACCCACCCACACGGCCACCGTGAACCCCACCCACCCACACGGCCATCGTGAAGCCCACCCACCCACACGGCCATCGTGGACCCATCCACCCACACGGCCATCGTGAACACACTCACCCACCCTCCCACATGGCCATCGTGAACCCTACCACCTACAGGGCCACCCACAGACCCTAGAGTAGAGACCGGGTCTCAGGGTCAGTGTCTAGAGTAGAGACCGGGTCTCAGGGTCAGTGTCTAGAGTAGAGACCGGGTCTCAGGGTCAGTGTCTAGAGTAGAGACCGGGTCTCAGGGTCTCAGTGTCTAGAGTAGAGACCGGGTCTCAGGGTCAGTGTCTAGAGTAGAGACCGGGTCTCAGGGTCAGTGTCTAGAGTAGAGACCGGGTCTCAGGGTCTAGAGTAGAGACCGGGTCTCAGGGTCAGAGTGTCTAGAGTAGAGACCGGGTCTCAGGGTCAGAGTGTCTAGAGTAGAGACCGGGTCTCAGGGTCAGAGTCCAGAGTTGGGACCGGGTCTCAGGGTCTCCGAGTCTAGAGTAGAGACCGGGTCTCAGGGTCAGAGTGTCTAGAGTAGAGACCGGGTCTCAGGGTCAGAGTCTAGAGTTGGGACCGGGTCTCAGGGTCTCCGAGTAGAGACCGGGTCTCAGGGTCAGAGTCTAGAGTTGGGACCGGGTCTCAGGGTCTCATAGTCTAGTGTAGAGACCGGGTCTCAGGGTCAGAGTCTCGAGTAGAGACCGGGTCTCAGGGTCTCAGTCTAGAGTAGAGACCGGGTCTCAGGGTCTAGAGTAGAGACCGGGTCTTAGGGTCAGTTTCTAGAGTAGAGACCGGGTCTCAGGGTCTCAGTCTAGAGTAGAGACCGGGTCTCAGAGTCTAGAGTAGAGACCGGGTCTCAGGGTCAGAGTCTAGAGTTGGGACCGGGTCTCAGGGTCTAGAGTAGAGACCGGGTCTCAGGGTCAGAGTCTAGAGTAGAGACCGGGTCTCAGGGTCAGAGTCTAGAGTAGAGACCGGGTCTCAGGGTCTCGAGTTGAGAGCGGGTCTCAGGGTCAGAGTCGAGAGTTGGGACCGGGTCTCAGGGTCTAGAGTAGAGACCGGGTCTCAGGGTCAGAGTCTCGAGTAGAGACCGGGTCTCAGGGTCAGAGTCTAGAGTTGGGACCGGGTCTCAGTGTCTAGAGTAGAGACCGGGTCTCAGGGTCAGAGTGTCTAGAGTAGAGACCGGGTCTCAGGGTCTCAGTGTCTAGTGTAGAGACCGGGTCTCAGGGTCAGAGTGTCTAGAGTAGAGACCGGGTCTCAGGGTCTCTGAGTCTAGAGTAGAGACCGGGTCTCAGGGTCTCGAGTTGAGAGCGGGTCTCAGGGTCAGAGTCGAGAGTTGGGACCGCGTGAATTGATATATTAATTGGTGAATAACGGGGACATATCTATAATTAACGTTATTATGAATATTATTATTGTATCTGGTTTTGGTGTAATTAGTGTGACGGATATTTAATCTTTGTTTACTTTGGGGAGAGAAATTAATGGGAAGTAGAGGCCGACCGAAAGTAAAAAATTGACTTTTGTTCGAAATCAAAAGTGGATCTACACTATCTGCCGAAATCGAATGTTGAACTACACTATCTGCCGAAATCAAAAGTTGAACTACACTATCTGCTGAAATCAAAAGTTGAACTACACTATCTGCTGAAATCGAAAGTTGAACTACACTATCTGCCGAAATCAAAAGTTGAACTACACTATCTGCCCAAATCGAAAGTTGAACTACACTATCTGCCGAAATCAAAAGTTGAACTACACTTTATGCCAAACTTAAAAGTTGAACTAGACTTTATGCCAAAATCGAAAGTTGAACTACACTTTATGCCAAAATCGAAAGTTGAACTACACTTTATGCCAAAACCCAAAGGTATATAACCAAAGATACCAAACACAAGATTTATGAAAAACTCGCTTTACTACCCAGCTTCGCCCGGGACTTGGATTCACCACGGCCGGCCGCCTTTGTCTCCCCAGTGGCGATGTTGACGCACCATACCACTTACTCGTTTGAGGCCGAGTCGACCTAGGGGAGGCCCAGGATCGGTTCAAATAACCGTCACCGGCCGTGAGCGGGAATCCAACTCGGGCCGTCGGGTTCGTAGCGCAACGAATCGTTAAGCAGTCGCCCCCTGACCCCAGGTGCGTGACGTCATTTATTGACGGCCCCAGACCCAAGGTTACGGCTGTAACCTCTCTCGCAAGCTGCAGCTGCAGACGTGTGTGTGTGTATGCAGCCTATCGCATGGGATTGCCAAGCGCCGACTGACCGGCTGATAAGACTTAGCACTGGAATTAAATTCTAAAAATAGATCTTCGGTTCTCTATGGGACACTCAGTTGTGCGCCTTTTGGCGTCATCTGGTCCAACACCACGTGAGACTAGGCTCTAAGGAAAGCTGTCTCGGGTGTGGACCAATCAACTTCAAGGACAGTGCACATACATTATCAGAGTTATGTTCTTTTGTTTGTATTACGACCGCAGGTATTGCGGTCTATGCAAACACGACTCCTTGTAAAAAGGTGTCAGTTTTGTTGCCAGATAGAAGGGTAAAAACCAATTATCACAATAGATCTTCGGTTGACGACCAAAAGTCAATATCAGTTTCGGACGAAACCGAAAGAGGCCATTTGCCAAACTTTCGGCGCCGAAACCGAATTTCGGTCGGCCTCTAATTGGAAGTTTACATGTTTTTTGGGGGGGGCAGGGGGGGGGGGAGTTGCGTCGAGTTGCACTTGGAAGTTGCTGCTCCCAACTGAAATCGATTGCGTGTCGATCACGGGGGCGCGGGGTTGCGTGCAACCTGCGACTTCGTTTGCTCGCAACTCGGAGGGTCTGGTACGCGTGTGGATGTCCGCAAGAGTTTGCTAAGCGGCAACGCAAGCTTTGGTTGCGTGCAACGGGTCGCGGGCGGGGGGGTGGGTGTTGGTTCGTGCAACCTGCAACTTGAGTTGCTCGCAACTCGGAGGGCCTGGTACGCGTGTCTGCAACCTGTTTTCCGGGCAGAAACGCAAACTTTACTTGCACGTCAACTTAGGTTGCTTGCAACTGAACAGCTGATGTAGGTGTGTGTCCGTGCAAACTGGTTGCTTGCAACTCACGTGGCCGATCGCCGGGGCTGGAACGGAGAATTGGACCTCTGCCGTTCGCACACTTTGGTTGCATGCAACGCCTGTTGAAGTCATTCGGTTGCAAGCAACTGGTTGCTCGGGTGATGATGATGTCACTGGAAGCCGAGTCTTGCCACGATTCACTCTTGCCAAATACAAGCCGATTTGAGTTGACCGTCTCCGTGGTGATGAGTTGACCGTCTCCGTGGTGACGAGTTGACCGTGTCGGTGTTGAAATTGCTCGGTGGTCATGGTGATGGAAACTTACAACTTTATTAACATTAACAAGAACATCAAACACTCCTTCTGCTCCACCACCACCTCCACCCACCACCTCCTCCTCCACCTCCTCCCCCACCTCCTCCACCACCACCACCTCCTTCACCACTACCTCCCCCACCTCCTCCCTCCCACCACTACCTCCACCTCCTCCCTCCCACCACATCCTCCTCCCTCCACCACCACCTCCTCCACCTCCACTACCTCCTCCTCCCTCCACCTCCACCACCACTACCTCCTCCTCCACTACCTCCACTACCTCCTCCTCCCTCCTCCTCCACCACCACCACCTCCTCCACCACCACCTCCTCCTCCTCCACGACCACCACCACCACCTCCTCCACCACCACCACCTCCTCCACGACCACCACCACCTCCTCCACCACCACCACCTCCTTCACCTCCTCCCCCCTCCACCACCTCATCCTCCTTCACCACTACCTCCCCCACCACCTCCACCTCCCCCACCTCCTCCACCACCACAACCTCCTCCTTCACCACTACCTCCCCCACCACCTCCTCCTCCACCTCCACTACCTCCTCCTCCTCCACCATCTCCTCCCCTACCTCCTCCCCCACCTCCCTCCACCACCACCTCCTCCTCCCTCCACCACAACCTCCTCCACCACCACCGCCCCCACCTCCACGACCTCCTCCACCACCACCTCCT